TTTTTACTGAAATAAACACTGCATACCAAAAGCAGCTACATAATGTAAATGTTCTTCATTATTTGAATAAGGGTTCTGATCTAAGTTACAAAAGCTTAGCCTGTAAAGAAACACTGGAAACCTCAGAGATGCCTATAGGTGTGCCAACCTGGGCAATAAAATATCAGCTAAGATTATGGTGGGGAAGAGTGTGAAATCATTGCACTGCAGTGGTGCAATGTTTAAAATACTGAATTGGGTCTGAAGAGATTTAGGTTCAAGCCTCCACTAAAGGCCAAAATCTGCAGAAAGCCTATTAATTAGAAGGGGGAACTCCTTGCTGGCTGAAAATGTTTTGATTTCATAGCCAGAGTTTCTCACACCTCTCATAATATGCAAAATACTCTATCTTGTTTTTTGATTGGTTTTCTGGTTATAAACACAGCCTTTGTATGGGAGTTCTGTTTTCCCCCCAGATGGGGTGCCAGAATCCCAAACTCTGAAAGATTTGTAAAGATTTCTGTAGGGATGGGCACAAACCACCAATTCAGTGGTTCATGCCAGGTCACCTGATGGCTGCACAGCTGTCTCATAGTTCAGTGACCCATCTCCTCCAGGACATGCCCACTCAGAGGCAGTGTTTTGGCTTCCCTGCCTGATCTCTTCTGAGTGTTATCTCTAAGCGAGCACCCACCAGAAACGACGGGGTGCAAACTGCGGTACAGCTGTGAAGGCATTGCCCAATGCCCATCTCTAGTTACATGTAACCTGTAGTTTAGGTGTGAACCATGAAATTCACTGGATCATCTTGGGTCAGTCCCTCTCCTTTAATTTCAGGGATGTCATTGTGAAAGAAAAAGGGCAGAAGACAAGCCATATATGCCCCTTTGTGCTCACTGGACCACAGGTGGGCTATAAGAGTAACTAATAAATATTATAAAATCCATTTAAATCTCCAAGTGATACTGTTTATTTAGCTAAAACAAGCAACACAGAGGTAACAGCAAATTCAGGGGAACCTGGGAAAACTCCCTTGTTCAACACTACAGAAAGAGGAAACTACATATACGTGGATCAGGATGCTGTTTTAAAATTCCCACTATTTTAAATTAACTTGCTTCTGTAGGAATCTACAGAGGATCACAGAAAAAAGTTCAGTCTTATAGTCTACTCCAAAGTAAGGTCCACTTCATTTTATGGGGCTTATTGCCTAGTAAAAATGCATAGGAATGGAGTCTAAGTCACTTTCCCAATTTTTTAGGTATTTGCACAAAAACATCTGCCACTTGTTGCTTGGTTATTCTTAAATCATTGGTTTTTAAATATGCAAGTACTGTAATAGGAAACATTTTGGTGTTGCACTACAACAGTATAAACCAGCTGCCAAAAATGAACTGACAATTTATAACGAGAAGGAAGGCTTCTGTTGTAAGTGTTTAATGACCATGCATTGTGCAAGTTCTGAAAAGATTCTATATTTACTCAGCAGGCTCCTGAAATGGATAATTAGCTGTTACTGGCTCTTAGTATACAGCTACTGAGCACTGCATTATGCTTCCTGCCAAGTTGTATCAAGAAGCTCAGCCTTCTGTAGTAAATGAACTGAACACAAATATTGCATGGCAAAAGGTCTTCCAGCAAATCTTCCACCAGGGAATATAAAGCTCTCTCTCTCTCTCTCTCTCTCTCTCTCTCTCTCTCTCTCTCTGTGTGTGTGTGTGTGTGTAGAGAATAGTGAGTTTAGTTCCACTTTACTAAAGCATAAACAACCATTACAGAGAAATACTCTCCAATAACTCTCATTAAGAACACATACAGATCTATATTTAAACTTAGATTACCTATGTAAAAAATATGAATGTCCTATTCAAATGGAGATATAAAATCTCAAGGGATGTGCCTGACAGCACACACAGCATAATCTATGCCATTTATCCAGAAAAAACACTAACATAGATTTCCGAGTTTACTTATTTTATGACTAAGATCATCATCACATTTATTAAAAGTGACCTTAATTTTCTGATAGTTGGTCATTATGTAACCAGAGTGGTAAGAGCAATGTACAGAAGACAGTGACCAGCAGACTTGGGAGTATCTAACACTCCAAAAGATGCAAGAAATAGCTATAAATAAACCTTCGGGGGGGGGGGGGGGGGAAGCCTGCTGGGAACTGAGCATCTCACGGAATTTTGACTGGGGATCCTAAGGAAGTGGAGTAGTTTGAATCCTAAACAGAGAATGCTCTATACCACAACACTTTATTGCAGGTTCCACATTTAATTTATATTGTCTATTGTGCCATTGATTGCACAACATCAAATTAGTAACAAACAGGTATGGGAAGTATGCTACAATGTTGTTTAGTGTAGTTAATTTCTACTGTACTCCACTTTTCTCCTTGCAGAGGGACTCAAACAGGATAACTCTAAAACAAGGCTGGAAAACATGTGGCCTTGCAGATGTTTCTGGATCACAATTCTCATCATCAGTGGCTATGCTGGCTGACCAGCCGAACACTCCACAATTCTGTGTATATTTAGGATTATTTTAAGATTTTATAAAGACTCTAAGACCTCCCATTACAAAAGACTGAAAACGTTTACAGTCAACTCTCCACTTACGAACTTAATCCATTCCGGAAGGATGTTTGTAAGTCGAAAAGTTTGTAAATTGAAACGAACTTAATCCATTCCGGAGGGATGTTTGTAAGTCGAAAAGTTTGTAAGTTGAAGCTAAATTTCCCATAGGAATGCACTGAAAACCCATTAATCCGTTCCGGCTGTTTTTGGTTCTTAGGTCGAGGGGCGGTTTGTAAGTTGAAGCATTAGTTCCCATAGGAACTAATGCAAAGCCAGTAAATCCATTCCTAACACTAGGGGCAGAAATTTTTTTCTTTTTCTTTTTAACCTAAGATGGCGTAGGTTACAAAAAAAAGCAGGAAACCAGAGGGAAAGAACGAACACTGTTTAAAAAGAACACTTTTTAAATCAAGCACCTTTTACACCAAAACAGGCACCTTTTCAACCAAGCACCTTTCAAATCAAAACAAGCAGCTTTTAAAGCAACCAAGCATGTTTTTACCCAAGCAGGTTTTAACTCAAACCGAGCTCCCTTTTACCCAAGCACCATTTAACCCAAACAAAGCACCTTTTAAACTAAATTTTACATTTAAAAATGACAATACCAGGCAGTCCCAGGTCTCTCTTCCCACTCTCTAACCGCTTGGATGAGTGAGGGAGCAGACAAGCAGCTTCTTCACTAACTGAAAGTTCAAATTTCCCACTTTCCCTGCCTTCCCTGCACTTTTTTTTCCGTTCATCAATATTTTCCTATCAGAGCAGTTCGTAAGTTCGTAACCTGAATTCAAGTTCTCGAGTTGATATTTTTCCTATCAGAGCGGTTCGTAAGTCAAAATGTTCGTAACTAGGGCCATTCGTAAGTCGAGGGTCGACTGTATTCAGTGGATCTATCAATCTGCTAATGTTGTTCACTCTATTCATTAAAGATGTGCAGCCCCACCCTGTGTATTCAGGAATTCCCAAATAGTGGTTCCTTCCAAGTGCCTACACAGAGGATGGCAGCACCTGTCAGAGAGGAGCAGTTTAAATCAATATGTCTGCAAATTAGAGGGACCATTTCATTATTTCCGACCATTTTGATTCTGCTGTATTACTGTAATACAGAAGTAAAAGGTAAACTTGGCCTTTCCTTCCATCTACCGGGACAGATTTTATGCAATACACTCCAAGTCATCTTTTATCAATATATTTGTGATACTTTTAACTGAGGTTTTGGCAATACACTAATTTATTTTGCTATAGTTGTTAACCAGTTAATAGGCATTTATTAAATCACCACCCAAACCCAAATCAACAGGTAGCCTTACTATAAACAGCACTCCTCCCCTGTCAGCTTTCAATACTGCAAATCAAATCAAACATTGTAAAAGTACTGAGAGTACTATAAAGATTCTGTCATCAGCCATAATTCTTTGATATAAACATTCCACGTTTTTAGGAAACATTCCACGTTTTTAGGGTGCCGACTGTAGGAAAAAATAAAGTAATTTTGCTGGAAGATTTATATGAGTTGTTTTAAGTTGTATGTTCAGTTCAACCTCATTCTCTTTAAACAAATACAAACGTTCCCATCTTTCACAATTTAGAGCCTTGCACAATGTCAAGCCTTTTATAAAATTGGCCTTGAGATACATCAGTAGGAAATAATCGCACTAATCTTAATTTCGATTTTCAGCCAAATATACATAGGTAAGGCTGCAGTCCCAATAAGGGATGATCTCTGACCACACGTGATAGCCGCCCAAGCCGTCTGTGCCCATGAAAGCCTGTTTTCTCTTAAAAAAGAGAGAAACGAAACGAAACGGGGGGAAAAGTAAATAGAGCATTATTAATTACTACGCGTTGATGCCGAGTCGCCCGCGTCACCCTCCTTTCCTGAAAAGGAACAATCATCATGTCCCCGATCCCGCTCGCCTTATTTGTAAAGGCTTCGAATCGTCAACTAAGACATGTTTTTCTCTCCTTCAGGTGGGAGCCGAGAGGCCGAAGGGAAGCCCCGGCTCGCTGGGAGCGGCAGGAACCTCACAAGCCGCAACCCGTTTGGCGAGGTCCCCTCACCGGGGCGAGCTCGCCAAACGGGCGCCCCCCCCACCCGGCCACAGCTGGGGGGGGAAGGCGTCCTATAAGAAACCGGCTTCCCTTTCTGCAGCGGCTCTCCCGCGGACGCCGCTTGCCCGCGGTGAGCGCGGAAGGCAGGACAGCGCGCCCGCCCGCGCCGCTCTTCCCCCGCCGGGCTTTCGCGCGCCTGCCGTCCCCGGTGCGGCTCCCCTCCGAGGCAAAGCCCTGCTGGTGTCCAGGGGGGCTTACTCCCGAGGAAGTGTGCGCAGGACCGCAGACCGACGCCGGTCGAGCGCTCTCCATCGCCTCCTCGCTGTCGCTCTCTCTGGGTGTCCTCCCCCCACCTCCCGCCCCGCAGGCTCTCCCTTCTTCCTCACTCACCGCCACGGACCCCGAAGAAGAGGCGACGAACACGCGAATGACCATCGTTCCTTCCTTCCTTGCTCGCTTGCTTCCCTGCCTACATTCGCTTGGCAGCGGCCGGGGCGAAGGCGCGCCAATGGACTTTGCACTCCTGCGGCTTAAGGGGAAAGGTGAGGGCTTCGCGGAGAGCGGCTGAGGCGAGACCCGGAGCAACCCTGCTTTAACCACCCTGCCCGCCTGCCCGCCCGTCTACCCCACCCCTCTCTGTCTCTCACACACGCAAGCACCCAACCCTTCCGCCCCGGCAACTGAACGGCAGCCCAACGCCACCCAGCCGAGCCCCAGGCACAGATAAGCAGGGACCGGGCTCGGAGGAACAAGCAGGATTCAGAAGATAAAAGCCAGCCAGAGGGAAGGAGGGTGGGAATGAATAGGTGTCCGCAAGGGCGCCTGGGAAATGGAGTCCTGCTCGCTCTGCCCTGGGATAAAAACAGCAAAAGGCGAAATTAGCAGCTCCTTCCTGTTCTTTCTTTAAATGTTACCTCTACCACAACAGCAGGCAGAAGGTGCGCGCGTAGATGTAGAGGCAGGCAACGATGCTGCGTACATCAAACCATGGGAGATTGTCGCGAAGAGAAAGGAGAGGAACAGACAGACACCTGAGGTGTGACCATTTGTAGAGCCCTTGTAAATAACAATTTTCAGATTATTCCCCTTCAATTCATTTTCAATTTATGCCTTCCACGTGCAAGATCAGCAAAAACTGCCGATCACACACCACTTTGTGCAGGTGCTCATTATGTAGGAGGCCTTCCAAAGTATTTCCCAGCGTTCATTCGTGGTCCAACACAATACATGTCTAGTCCAAAACATGTCCCACTGTGTCTAGTTATGTTTATTCCGAGCAAGGTCACTGGATAGCAATTTCAGTGCAGATATTGGTTTCCTCACTACTTTTATCTATCTGGAGTTTTTATATTTGTACTAAACTTTAAGAAACTTCCTTACACGAGATTGCCAGATGTGGAAAACAGCTTGTCCTTGTTTGAACAACTTCAAACTTGTTGACTTCAGGGCAAGTCAGTTTATTCAAAATGCTCATAAGACGCGCCTCTTTCAAAGCACACTTCTTGATGCACATCTCCCTGCTGCCCCCTTTCTTCCTTTTGTTTTAGACATTCAGAAGGGTGCTTTGGAGCAGACAGCATCTGCTAATGGCAAAAGGGTGTGTCCCCAGGGCTTCTTGATGGCTCCCAGTGGCAGAGGCATTGTTACCAATGACATACAACATCTATACAGAAAAGGTGTGTAATCCATAAATGGATAAATGGCGCTATTCTGTATTTGGCCAATGGATAGAAAGAGACAGACTGATAACCAAGTGAGGCTGGACAGCATGGAAATGAAAGCTAATCAGTAGACAGGACCACAGAGTAAAGAGAGCGAACATTAAAGCCAAGCGTTGTCACACAAACAGGTGGGGCTCCAACACAAGAAATCAGACACCTCAGCCTAACATACCGGCCAGACCAGCTGCCCTGCCTCCCTGGAAGAGTTGCGCCACAAGGACTATAAACATGGGGAAACATTGAGAGAATGCCTACAGAAGCAACAGGCAGAGAAAGGCTGCACGTGAAGAAATAAAGGCTCTGTGCCAAAACACCAAAACTTGAGTACTCATAGAGGTACACGTAGGCAACCAGCTTACAGGGTACATGTGGGTCTTTAAACATGAAGAAAGATTCAGAAGGGACAATTGCGTAATGAAAGGCTAGAATAGTAACCAAGAGCTGTACTCAAAAATGCAAAGAAGATTTTGATAAGACCCTTGCCCTTGTAGTGAAGCACACTCCACAAAAAGGACACAAATGAGCATTACAGCATCCTGGAAGATTTATCTTGAACACTTAAACATCAAGGCAGCCTTCCTACAGAGAACATAAGGGATGATATCCATATGGAGCAACATCGTAGCTTTGGAAAATCAGGATGTACAGTAAGTCACACCTGCAAACTCCCAGAAAAGGTGGAGCAACATCGTAGTTTTGAAAAATCAGGATGTAAGTCACACCTGCAAACTCCCAGAAAAGTGCGTATTACTTGAAGTGAGAAGCAAGAGCATGGTGTATAATGAGAAGCTGAATCAGATGCTGTCAAAGAAGTCTTTGTGCAAATCCAAGCTGTGGGCTGGATCAAACAACTATCAGCTGGATATGCAGCTGGTCACAGAATTGTATTCAGAGAGTGCTTATCAATGTCTCCTTCTCCAAGTGGGAGGAGCTAACAAGTGGGGTAATACAAAGTTGAGTCCTGGTCCCTGTGCTCTTCAACATTTTTAATAATGACTTGGATGAGGGAGTGCAGGGAATGCTAATCACATTTGCAGATGACACAAAATTAGGTGGAATAGCTAATACCCTGGAAGACAGAAACAAAACTCACAATGATTTGGATAGGCTTGAGCACTAGTTTGAAAACAACAGAATGAAATTTAACAGGGATAAGTGCAAAGTTTTACACCTAGAGAAGCAAACAAACAAACATATTGTTATAAGATAGGGATGCTTGGCTCAGTAATATTATGAGTGAGAAAGATCTTTGCACTGTTATAGATCATAAGCTGAATATGAGCCAACAGTGCAATGTGGCTACAGAAAAAAGCCAATGCTATTTTAGGCTGCATTAACAGAAGTACTGTATAGTTTCCAAATCACATTACAGTAAGTACTTCCTAACTGTTAAAGCAGTGTAACAATGGAACCAGTTAACTGGGAGGTGGTGAGCGCTCTATCACTGAAAAAATTCAAGAGAAAATTAGTCGGCCATCTGTCAGATACGCTTTGACTTGTATTCCTGCACTGAGCAGAAGGTTAGACTTGATGGGCTCAAAGGCCCCTTCCAACTGTATGATTCTATGAATCCAAATAGAGAGGGAGACTGAAGCTATTTTCTCAATAAAAGAACAGGGATTAATGCATTCCAGGACTTAGGATGCCCACACAAATGGTTTAGAGTACACCTGGGTAGTCTGTCTGCTCATCAGCTCTGTAAGTGGTGCTTCCCTTAATTCCTTTGAAGCTTAGCCACTCCCACCCATTCCCTTCTCCTTCAGACAAATAAAGGATGTTTCAGACGGAGACTTGTTACTGAAACTTTCTATGGCACTTGGATGTTTTTGGCTACAGCTCCCAGAATTTTAGCTGGGGGAACTCCTGGTGATTTCTGGGAGCTGTAGCCAAAAAGAAAGAAAAAAAAATCTCCAAAGCCCCATCCCCTAGCTAAGAGCCATTGTAGTGGAGTGGATCAAATTTCAGACTGCAGTTCAGAAGATCTGGATTCAAATCCCTGCTTGGCCATGGACATTCACTTGGGGGTAATACTGGAAAAACACTTCCCTAAATAACCCACATGCCTTGGAAACCCTACTAGCAAATCTAGATAGGACAGGACCAAAAACCTTACAATTAATGGAACACAACCAAAGGTGCATGAGGTTGTCACAGAATGAAAAAGGCAAGTCTATGCATGAAGCACGTTGATTTGAAGGATCAATTCCTGATAAACATGTGAGAGAGGAGACTTATGGAGATGGAGCATCGTCTATCAAGAGACATGACTGCAGAGCACCCTCACAAAGCGAGCTCTCATAAGAGACCCTTTTCAGGTTTTCAAAGAGAAGGTGAGGGGTGTGGAATAAATGCAGCAAATCGGTATTTGGCTAGTGAGAGGCAACAGAGAAGTAGCCAGGTGGGATTGGGCATCTTGGTCTCCCTTGGCTTTCTGTGAGTGAAAGAGCAAAGAGTCCTGTTGCACCTTTTACAACCAACAGCATTTATTTGGCACATTTTCTGTGAGCTACAGCCCACTTCTTCAGGCAAGGTACTGATGCACTGGCACAAGGAAGGTGGCAGATGGTGGCATTATCCCTGCTAATAACAAAGTCCCAGTACTTGCAAGCTGTAGCTACATTATAACACTGATCACTGATTATGATAAGGCAGGAATGTGACATAACAGAAATTAATTACTTTTATAAAATAACTTTCCATATTCTGACTGCAGTTTGCATTTAGTGGGTGACACTGGTATCTCTCCACCCTGTGCTTTTTCTTGTGGCCTCCTCCCTCTGGCACACATATATTTCAGGGCTGGACATGTATACATATGATGCATATTATACTGCCGCTGTGCTGCTGTAAATGCTTCATTGGTGTAAATGGATTATAGGATTGTGCTGTTAGTATGTTTAGAGTTGTAGTCTTACATGTAAATACATTCCACTGGAATCAAATTGGTTTAGAGTTTAAAACAGAGTTCATGTGGAGTTCATTTGCTTGTCTGTTTGGCTGAGAAACTGAAATCAGTAGGATTTTTGTAAAAGGGCCTGGCATTCTCGTTTCGTACCCTGATGTGGATACCTAGATAAAGAAGTTTGTTTCTGTAAAAGCTCTGTATGCATCCCCTTTTGCCTTCTGCAGCCATATTCAAAAAATGTCTTGAGCACTGTACTCCAAACCTAATCATTTGTGTACAAAAAATACTAAAATAAATGCTAGATACTAGTGAGATAAACTCAACTGGAGCAGCTCTGAAGGCTTGTTTGTTGGAAAGGAATTACAGGACTATACTGCTTAATCAGCATCCAGAAATACTTTATTTTACTCCAATGTATTTATGTTCCTGGACAACCTTTACAGTGACAATACACTTATAGCACTGATTGCTCGCATGAACAAGAAACTGGCTCTGTAACTCCTCCAATGAAATAGAGGAGGTTTGTGGCAAAGCAAATGATAATTAAAGATGGCTCTTATTAATAACTTCTGACTGCAACAATGATCTCTTATGTCATGGTGGGAAACCTTTCTTCTTACAAGGGCCACATTCTCCTGGTGGGTTATCTGTCCTGGACCGCACACCAGTGCTGGCTGGGACTGCAACAAGTACTGGGTTGATCCAAACACCAGTTCAATCTCCTGGTTCTACCATCTTTTCCTTTCTTCTCTCTACATCTGCATTAAATTAAACTGAAGGCCACATAATTTTCTGGGTCAGGGAAACCCCCACCCCTGCTTTATGGTGCACACTTACAGATACTGTATATGGTGCAATCATAATACAGTATTGGGGCTGGGGCAGAAGGAAGCGAGATGGGAGACTTCTCACCAAGCCCAAGTCCTGGCTGACTCTCTGTCATAGAAAGGTGAGAGTTACTTTTTCTTACCTTCTCTTTTTTCTTTTTCTACTTTTCTTCTCATGATGAGTCACTGCCAGAGCACCATGGGTAGAAAAGAGGAGAGGAGGGAAAGCTTTCTGTGGCCACAACAGTGAGGTCTCTGCTGACAGACTTTCCCGTCCATTTACACTTAGGAAGATCTGCAACATACTTCTCAGCTGCCCTTCCAGAAACTAAAG